GTTTTCAGACATATAGAAGAGGGATTTCCTTTGTTTTGCTTTGGTGATTAGGTGCAAAGGGTGGGCGCTACGGGAAAATGGACTTGGACTCAACCTAAGGAAGAACTTCATAATGGTTTGAGATGATCCAGCATGCAATGGTCTACCCTGAAAAGATGAGATTTTCCCATCATTGGAGTTATTTAAGCAGAAGCAAGATAACTACTTGGCAAAGAGGTTGCACAAGGCAATCAAGTTTTGGAACATAAGGGTAGGGAACTAGGCAACCAGTAAAGCAGCTTTGGATACCATAATTTTGAAATTCAGGTGGTAAGGGGCCTGGAGGTGAAATAGTTGGAGCCCTCAGAGCGGGTGCCTCTTAACTAGTTACTATCTCTACTTCCAATCTCCCCTCCTCCAGTCCTCCTTACACCTATGCCCCAGAAATATTTTCCTGAATACTTTACCATGAGACCTTCCAGCTCAAATGTCATAGAATCTCAGTAATCCTAAAGGTCATCTGGTTCAGTTTTTTATCAGACACTTCTATCATCTTTGCATCATCTACCTGGAGTGATTGTCCAGTCACTGCTTGACTATCTCTGGTGATAGGCATCTGCTTACCATTTGGGTCATTTCACTCCAATTTCAAAGTACTACTAATCTTTAAAAAGTCCCTTCTAAACCCAACAAGTGGTTTTATGTTAGGGTTGGGGTAAGGACGTTTTTGTTGTTTTCTGCAGTGCTGGGGTTGGAACCCAGGGTCTCACACATGCTAGGCAAGCAAGCACTCCATCACTGAGCTGCACCCCGCCATAGGACATTTTTTTCTTCTGCTTTTGGAACTGTTGGTAAATTTTAAAGGACTTCAAGAGGCTGGAATCATGAGTTGAAACTTTTATTACAATTTCTCATTATAAAAAAGAAAAGAAAAAGAGCAACTTATGTTGATCCAAATCTGCTTTCCTATAACTTCCATCTATTAGATCTCAGAGCCTTTGGAGTCACACAGAACAAAACTACAGCTTCCTCTTCCCCATGAACCCAGAAACGATTTGCCAACAGTAGACAAATTTTCCCTGGGATTCTCCAGCCCCCTCACTATCATCACCACTATTCTGAGTATATTTTTGGTAATATCCCCCATGAAGTCTGGTGCTCATAACTGAATGAACAGGGGGCATCAGGTGTGGCCTGACCAGTACAGAGTAGCACAGGTGATCACCTCCTTTATCCTGACTTATTAATATAGTCCAAGGTCATAATACTTTTTGTAGCAACCAAACCATCCATTTGACTCAACTCATGATGAGCTTTCATTTTCTCTAAAAATTCCTTTAGGCCACATCCTATACTCGTACTGTTACATTTTGAAATTCAAATAAGGGACTTTACCAGTTTTGTGTAATTTATAAGTCTGATCTGGTGACATTAAAACAGAACCTTTTGTTTCATTTTGTTTTGTGTGGTGCTGGGGATTGAACCCAGGGCCTTGTGCATGCAAGGCAGGCACTCTACAAGCTGAGCTATATCCCTAGCCCCAAACAGAATTCTTTTGCATGTAGTCACTTAACCAGTTAAAAGTCCACCAATTTTTACTTCTACCCACCCTGCATTTTGTCTATATTGTCCCAAGAGTATTGAGAGAATGTTTTGTTGAATTCCAAATACATTGTGGGTATAGCTTTCCACTCCTCTACCTGTCCAATCTCCCTATCAAAGGAAATGAATTGAATGGGAATTTTTTCCCCTAAGTCCAGGAGCTGAGTGATCTTCACTTTCTTTTCTAAGTGCTCACCAACCATTCTTTTAATCATTTGTCTCAGAATCTTGCCCTTGATTAATATCACACTTATTGATCTATAAATTTGTGGAATTTACCTTTTCCTACCTGCAAAATGGTGGGGGCCATGTTTGCTCATCTCTAGGCAGCAGCATGCATCATTTCCATTCTCCCTGGGGTTTGTAAAGCCACCACCATTTGTCCTGCAGTTGAGCTGTGAGTCCTCAAAATGGTCAGGGCAGTTATTGACCTAGACTCTGAGCTGGAGTTTCCCAGGGCAGCTCATGGCACCCTGGGATGAGACTGTCTTCAGGAGCTTGTCTCTGGTGTTCATCTTGTCCTTTCTATTCTGAAAATCCTTCTCCTTGGAGAACAGAAAGAGCAAAGTGGGGCTGAGAAGGCTTTATTTTCTCACTATAAAACCATTATCAAAAGCATCCAGTCAGGGCATCCCATTGCTATTCAGTAACACCCAAACTCTCCTCTGTTATGAAGACTTCCACAACATGACTTGCCAATCTGATTCCTATCATTAAACTCAAACCTCTGCTTTGGTCAGGCCAGTCCCCTCACTGTTCCTCAAGTGTGCCCAGACCATCTCATCTCCATGCTCTGGTTGAGGTTTTTTTTCTCAATTTGGAATGCCTGCTACTCTACCCACTTATATCCCACCATAGCATTTCATACATTTTCTCCAGTCCTTTTAATCTTTACTGTACAATTTAAGTCACATACTAAATTATACATTTCATTCATTTTATCATGGTTCAGCTTTGTCTTCCTATGTATGCACCCCACAGTGGGTATCTTCCATGCCTCACAGTATATATAAACCAGCACAGGGCCAGGCCTACAGTCCTGGTTACCATACTTCTGTGGAGATTTCCACAGTGACCAACTTCTGATCCTTCACATACACTACTAATTCATATCCCAAGATAGCTGTGTCCAGTTCCCTAAAGGACTAAAATAGAAATCAGATAAACCTAGAGATGTGGGCTGGATCTAATCTAGGCACTAATGATCTTTGCAATGTGGAATAAAATCCAAGTATATCCTAATCTTCTCTTCAAAGATCTGAGTTTTTTTGGTTGGGCAATGCTGTTGGTCAGCAATGGGGCCAAGAATCTCAAGCTACATGAGCACAGAACTGACTGTCAATGAGCTTGAAATCTCCTGCCTGTCCTGAAGCTTACCTCCTTTTTTCAGGCCTTTCAAAGGTGTGAAGACCAACTACAATCTCTCGCTGAAAGGTCCCTAATAGAATTGGAGCTGGGTTTGCTATGGCACCTTGAGGTGGTGAGAAGAGAAGCAATGTCTAAATCACCCCAAAATATATAGCCTCCTACCTGGAGGCACTTGTGCACGTGCGTGTGTGTGTGCGCATACACACACACACACACACACACACACACACCAAAATGGGAGGCCCTATTTGGAAGTATCTGAAATGGAGCAAAAAATAAATACTCTGAATTTATCTCAAAAGGTGATGTACTCCAGCCCTATGCTCTCAGAAAGATGAAGGATACCAATGCTTTCCTCAGTAGCCATTCATTCCATTTGTCAACTGTTATTGGGAATTTACTGGGTGCCCATAATTACTTCCTATGCATAACAAAGTCTTTCCTTGGGTTTACTTAATCTAATTTTCTTCTCTATCACTCTCAGAAGAAATGGGGAACACAGGTCATGAGAGAACACATCTCTATCCTGTCATTGAAGATGACCATAGTACACGTGTCACTTAGTAGTCTAGTTGTGCTCATTGGATGTTACTTTTCTTTTTTTTCTAGCTTAAAAAAGAAAAAAAAAAGTTCTTTGGCACATTTCTTTTGTTCTTCTCCAAATCCTCTCTACTTTTCCACATATGTTAAAAATGTACTCACCAAGGGCAGATCCATTAATGCTTTGGAAGATATAACCAATGGCTGGTAGAAAGGAACAAGTGGAGCAGGACTGTAGGGAAGGTCATCTGTTATTGGGTTGCCTTCCAGCTCTGTTTCTATCACTAACTAAGATGGGGTTGTTTTGGGACCCATTTGCCCAATTATAAAATAGGTGGATTGGACTAGATAACTCTGGGGTTACTTCTAGTTCTGATACACTCTGACTACCTTCCAGCTCCTCCATGCTCTATTTTTGTTACTATATACTAGTATTCCCCATTAGTTTTGGAAAAAAAGAGAAAGGAAAGAAGGGAGGGAAGAAGGGGTGAAAAAGGGAGAAAACCAGTTCTACAACTGTGGACTCATTCAACTTGTACACCCTCTTTCCCATTGTTCTTTTTTTAAAAACTATACATCTGTCAAGTTAATCATTGCCAATCTCTTTTGTACCATGTGCCATATTAGTATATTAGTTCTGGGTTTTGATCTCTGTGCATGCTAACTTGTGTTCATCCCCTCTGAACATCATTCTGGCTGTGATGGTTCATCTCCCTCATTTTGTCAGGGTCAATTTTAAGAATTCTATTCCTGATTTCTGAGCTATTGGCAACCCTGCACAATGTCAAACTTGATGAGCAGACTCCCCATTCAGTTCTTCAAGTCACTGAGAATCATGTGAAATCCCATAATGCTAACCCTGTGGCGCCTCACTGAATCTGTCCCCTGGAGTGGTCAGGGGGCTCACTGATCACAATCCTGTAGAGAAAAATTCTCAGGACCCAATGACTTCTCTAATTCTACTTCACAGAACAGGAAACAAGTATCCCTAGGGAAGGAGAAGGGACCTGCTCTGACGTCACCCAAGGCCAGGGAGTCCACATAGCTGATGCCGCACTGGATTTGGATACAAGAAAACTTTAGCATCTTAGAGGTCAAACCTCCTCCTAGCCCCCAGTCCAAGATGAGGGCAGGGTGGTAGCGTTGGTGGTGATGGCAGCAGAGAAGGAGGCGGAAGAACAGGAGGAGGAGGCGGTGAAGCAGCAGCAGCAGTGGTGGTGGCACAGAGAAGGAAGGAAGTATTATTTTTGCTGTTTCATTAGGAGGCCCAAGGTGCTGAGAGGAGGCTTCAGCTGCAAGAACCCAGAGTGCTGGGGGGCAGGGGAATGGGGACAGCAACCTGATTAAGATCAGAGAGGTCTTTGTGCAGGGGGCCAGCAGAGTGCAGCCCAGACTTGTATCAGCTTAAGGTAGGGGAGGCTGATGGAGGCTGCCTGATTGCCTGATTTCTAGCCCGCAGGGGCACCCTGCTCCGAGGTCTGTTGGGGCAAGGCCTGTGCAAGGGAGGCAGGTTGGGAGTGCTAACTGGATTTTTTATTTTTATATCAAGACACTGTGTTTAAAATTTTTACAAAGGACAAACTCCATGGGTTTCCGTTAGTGTTTTAAGAACTTTTCTTTAAAAAAAAAAAAAGCCAACAACAACAAAAAACACCGCCTTTTTGAAAGAGAAATGACAGACACAAAAGACTGTAAAGAAAATGGGGTGAATTTCTGATAGCATTTCCCCAAGGGCAGAGGCAGAACCCAGATTATATACCTGGGGGGTGGGGTGGGGAGGGGGTAATAATGACATGGCCTCCACAGTACCTTGTTTGTCAAACCTAGGGTCCCCTGGTCTAGCCAGGTCAATGCTGTTTGCCTTCAGGGGATCTGCATCCCTCCACAGGGACACAGAAAATGTTGGAGATCTCTCTTCAATGGCCCTCCAGCCCCATCCATCATTAGCCCCTTCCTCCATTCACCCCATGGTTGTGCTCAAATCTGTTTCTTTCTTGGGAGTCCTGTTCCTTGGTCTGATTGTGTGAGCACGGGGGGTTCCAAAACCAGAAAGAGCTGAGCCTGGAACCCTCCCTTCCAGAGCCTCTTAGCACTCATGGGTTGGAAAAGCATTTGTTCCAAAAATTTAAAAAAAATCAACAAAAACAAGACCCAGAAAAAAGACCAAGTCTGGGGGAGGAAGAGCTACTCTGCTCTTTAAAGCTCCCAAGTCTGGAGTTGGTCGTTGGTGCAGTTCCAAGAGAGGCCAAAGGCGAGCACCAAGGGGGTGTCCAGCTGTTGCTTTCAGGCCCCCCAGGAGTGTCTGTGGTCAGGCTCAGGGAGCTGGCTTCAGCTGCTGTTTCATGGATCCTTGGTTTACCAAGGACTCATTTGTGTCCCCATTTGCAGGGTTTGTCCAGGTTTACTTCAGTATTTGTGTTTTTGTACATGCGGGTGCATGTCCACATCTGTCTATGTTTGTGCAGATGGGTCTGCTGTAGGGTGTGGGTGCGTGCGTATACATATGTATATATGTGTGTGTGTGTGTCTGTGTGTGTGTGTGTGTGCGTGCGCACATGCACATGTGCATGTGTTTGTGGATCTGGAAGGGAGGGAGCTGGGAGATGAGCTGTGCTCTGGGTTGGAGCTATACCCGGGTAGTGGAATGTGAGTGGGGCAGCCCGGTACTGTTAAACCCTGCAGCAAAGGTGTTATAGGGGTGCAATGTCTGCAGCCCTACCAGGGAGTTGGGAATCATAGTGATGGTGTTGGGGGTCATGAGTGGGATGTCATCGGGGGAGCGCCGCAGGGTCAGGGTATAGTCGGGCAATGCAGTGAGGCGCAGTGTGTCATGGGGGGGACCAGCCTCACACTCATGGTGAGTGGGTCCAAGCTGTAATGCTGCCAGCTCCTCCTCAGGAGCAGCTCCCAATTCAGGGGCTCCAGCTCCCCTCTGGGGGCTAGGCTGCCTCAGAGGCTCCTGGCGCCGTTTGTCCTTCCGGTAGTAGAGGGCAGCAAAAGCCAAAACATTGAGGAACAGGAGGGAGGCCCCCACAGCGATGGTCACACTTAATTCAGTGGAGTAGTCTCGAGGGTTCTCCACCAGGAGAGGCCCGGCATCCTGGTCCCCGTTCCAGGACCCTTGGGCGTTCTCATTGCTGTAGGCAGGAGAGATGGCTGGCCGCTTGGTGCTCCAGGTCTTGCCGTTGGGCCTGCGGGTGATGTGGGAGCTGTGGGTGGTATCCGGGGGCGGCACTTTGGTGGTTGTGGATGTATAGTGGAACATGTCATGCAGGTTGTACAGGTGGGGCACCAGGTGTTTCCAAAAGGCAACCTTAGTGGCTCGGTAATGATCACGGACCCTTGGTTTCAGCCCGATGTGAAGGTAGAGCTGGTCTCGGGGATTGTATTTGGACCAGGCCACTTCCTCAAATCGGTTGGCCTTGGTGTGAATGAACTTGGTGTCCTGGGGGACCGGCTTGTTGGGATCCCTGAAACACCACATGGAAATCTGGGGTCACCACTCTACCTGGATAAGGAAGGGTTCAGTTTCCTTCTTCTCACACCTACCCCTAAACCTCTTCCCCAGTCCAAAATTTACCACCATTTCCATCTTTTTCAGGGTCCCTCCCTCTGTCCACTCCCCCTTTGCTCCAGGGCTTGAACTCCTTGTGCCCAAAATGGGGTTCAGAGAAACTATCTCACTCTTCCCTGTGCTTATCTGCTAAGATCAAGCTGTAGATATTTTGTCTTCTCTCATACTATTCAGCATTTATTAATCTTTTCAGCTACCCACTTTTGTGAAGAGCTCTCTACAGGCTGTTAATTCTCTCTCTCATCTCCACCTCTCTCTCTTTTTTTTTTTTTTTTTTTTTGGTGGTACTAGGGATCGAACCCATGGCCTTGTGCATGTGAGACAAGCACTCTACCAACTGAGCTATATCCCCAGCCCTTCCACCTCTCTCTTGAGACAGAGACTCACTAAGTTGCCAAGGCTGGCCTCAAACTTTGTGATTCTCCTGCTTCAGCCTCCTGAGTACCTGGGATTACTGGCACATGACACTGTGCCTGGCTTTTATAGGTTCTTTATGAATGTATAAAAAGTAAAAAAAAATTATGGTCATTTCACACAGCCTCTGACTGGTTAACCTTGATTCCCACAATTCTGCCAGTAAGTTGCACTTCTGCTCAGTTGTGATGCTAACAGAGTTGTGAGTCTCAATACAATTTTTCCTTTATTGGTTCTGGAGATTGAACCCAGGGCCTTGGACATGCGAAGCTGGTGCTCTATCACTGAGCTACACCCCTGATCCCTTCAATAAAATTTTTGAAGGAAGGAAAATGGCTACAAAATCTCAAAAAGGGAGGAGGGAAGGGGAAGTGAAAGGGTTAACAAGCAAGACTTTGGGAATACTGAAGGAAGGGAGATGATGAAAGAAGTTAGATAGTGGAGCAGAAGGGAGTGCATGCTGAGATTCCAAAGGGAAAAAATTTTTCTCCTTACCCAGTCTTGGCAAAGTTGGTCCAATAGGTCATGACGACAGCACTGAGCATAACGTCATTCTTGGAGAAGTTGCAGGGGAAAAGGTCAGTGGGGCCTACCATAGGGACACCAAAAACGTAGGGTACTTCATCCCCATGTGCTGCATCTGACCAAGCAGGCTTCATGAGGCTCTGGCAGTGATGGTAGAAGGCGTAGAAATAGGTAGGTGAGCCATATCGGGCATGCAGATCAGCTGTCACCACAGAGGGCTCCACCCACTGGTGGTCAGTGAAGAGTGCCACCAGTGTTTTACGACGGGTCTCAGGGTTGTCACGGTCTGCCCAGTCTGTGTACATGAACTTGATGGTCTCCCGCAGGGTGTCCTTACCCTCAGGGTAACCATACAGATTGTCCACAAAGTTGGAGACAGAATAGTCAAAGTCAGTGCCAGAGACACCATCCTCAGGGTCTACCACCCCTTCTACAAACTTGAGACCCTCACCCTGGTTGACACCTAGCATGATGTCATAGTTGAGGAACTCGCCCTGTTCCATGAGGATTTCAGGGTCATCAGGAATGACATCACCATCAATTACAGGGCCAAAGGCCACGTGGTAGCGGGCGGGCTGGATGTCCTGCTCTACCAGTTCCTTGGCGCTCTTTTGCCGAAGACAGTCCACCATATCCACAGTGTCCAGTACATTACAACCCACTTTGTCTGCCAGCAGGCTGGTATACTTCACTGGTTGGTAGTTCACAGCCCAGCTGGACAGAGCAGAGCCACTTTGGATGATGGCCCTCTGGAAAAGCCCTACAGAAGATAGGTGGCACTAGGTTAGATCTACAGTGTCACACATGGCCATGAAACACCTTATTCCTTTATCACTGAAGACACCCTATGGTTTGCATGGGCTAGAAGGGGAATAACTCTCTTAGTAGGGGATAAAGCGTTAGAATCAGACAAGGGATTACTGAGTCCCTTCCTTAATGGGTCCTGTCTGGTTGTTTCATTGCTTCCCGGCCCTGGTGAGATGTTGGTAATTTGGGGGTTAAGGAAATGCCAGGAAAAATTAACCCCTTGGATCCCAAGCATCAGTCTCCTTATGCTCCCTCTCTTTATTGCTCCTTGTCTCTCCCTCTTGCTTCCTGCCCAGCTGGGCCCAGCTCTGTGCCAGCGCACCACCAGGGAGCTGGCACTTGCACCACAAAGGGGTCTTTTTCAAGAGAGATGAGAAATGCAGGGAGGAGTGATCCCCACATTCTGGGGGTTTGGGGAAGGATCCCAAGGGCAAAGGCCTCGCTTGAGGTCTCAAAGTCTCCCAGGCATGCATTCTGCCAGTCTGTGGTATCCACAGAGACTTTCCTTTCACTGAAGCTACTGATGCTTCACCTCCAGATTTTTCCCAAGCTGAGAAGGAACCAGTCCCCCCAAACTCAAAAACAAGATGATCCTTTCCCCTCTAGGAAAAAAAAAGTTATCATTCTCCCCTGTCCCCAACATTCCCAAGGGAGAATTTGGCTCTCGGGCACAAAATTCCATTGCTCTAAGAGAAAAGCAGTTTGCAAGGTCAGAAAAAAGAGGGAGAGAATATAAACTACCACTTAAAGAGAGAACCTCATTTTTCCAAGATTATTTCTTTCTTCTTCCCTCCCTTCCTCCCTCCCTTTCTTCCTTCCTTTGGTGCTGAGGATGGAACCCAGGGTCTTGTATGCCAGGCAGGTGGTTTACAAAGGGGCTACATCCCTGCCTCCCATTCCCTGTCTTTAGAGATGCAGATTATACTTTAGTCTTCCCTTACCAGGTAGTCTCTGGAGGGACACAGACAGACTGTTCTAGGACAGAGAAGGTGATTCTTCTGTCTCAGAGATGGGCTTTCCTCAAAGAGAGCCTGCAAATCTTCCTGTGAGAATACCACTAACTCATGGGGTCAATTTCAATGAACAACAACAACAAAAAAGTGTCCCCTCTCACAGATTTCCCTACTTCTGAGAAGGGAGTGTGTGTGTGTGTGTGTGTGTGTGTGTGAGAGAGAGAGAGAGAGAG